AAACGACCCACCCCACCCCACTTCGTCTTCCCACTGCAATTGCAAACAAGCTACTGAAAAAAAATAATAATAAAGCAACGGCTACAAGCTAGCAGAATCGAGAAGGAATTAAAACAGATCACTAGACTCCAGGCCGGGTCAGGACACAGGGAAAATTGTCTCTCGGCCGGCAGCCGGAAAGAAAAAAACTCCGTTCTAAGAAACATCACAAGCTCACTTTGAAGTAAAAAGGAGGAAGAAAAAAAAAGAAAAATTTTGCTCTTCCAAGTCTCCTCTACGGGGTCTCCATGCTGCCACCAATCTGCTGGTCCTCTAAGGCCACAAGCAGACTCAGTAAGGAGAGAATCTCTGCTTTTCCGCTTTCAGTTTGTTAGTAACACATGGCACAGCTGAAGTGGAGGTACCCTTAGCAGCAGACACAACATTTAGAGCCAGGAGAGGGACAGGTTTCATGCCAAGCAGACTGGAGACACAAGGGGCGGTCGGAAGAGGGTTGGGGAGGCTGGCGGGTGCTTCGGAGGCCCCCGCTGTGGCGAGCGAGGGGGTGGTGGTGGAGGAGGAAGAAGAAGAAGGGGTGGAGGGTTGAGAGAGGTTGATGCTGAGGTGGTCAGGGATCGTGACGGAGGCTGCCTGGGAGGAGGGTTTAGCGCTTTCTAAACTGTAACAGAGGAGAAAAGGAACAAAAAAAACGGGTGGGTGGATGGGAACACCACAAAAAAAGCACAGGACAAACAGCTTAAATAGCACCAGCCTAGCTCGGAAAGGAAGCGGCGCATGTGGCAAGGGGGGGGCCGCAAGGCCGAGGAGGGGCACAGCCCCACGGCCGTCAGGGCTCTCGGCAAGACGGACCTGCCCGCGCTGCCCCATGGCGCTGGGACACACGAGGCCAGCCCTCGCCTCGGCACGACGCGGGGGGCCTCAAGCGCACCCTGGACGTCGAGCCCCCCCGGGACCCCCGTGTCGAGCTGTCAGCTCAGCAGCTGCACCGCCCCAGCGCCTTTTGAGCGGGGGACCTTGGCACCAGCCGCATAAAGCTGCTAACTACCAAGAGGAGGAATAAGCCCAAAGAGAGAAGAAAAAAAAAAGAAAATACACACACAGCTTTTCCTTCA